CTACAGTCAAAAGTCCTTTTCTACACTTCAACTTGTACTAACAATGCTATCTAAGAAGCTGCTTTCGGGATGTAAGAACCAAGTTATAATTAATGTTGTTTAATTAGGTGTGGAGCACAGAATGGAAAACAAGAAGAAAATGATCCACTTTAAAAAAGGAATATGATTATGGAGGAAGTAAACCAAGTTTAAAATCTGGTGTAAATGTTTTACAGTGAGGCCAAACACAAGGCCGTACGTTTTAGTTCCTACCTTTCTGTATGTCATTTGAAGACATTTAGGTGCATTTGATTAGATGTAGGTGTTCTTTGTGTATTTCCTAGTAAATAGCTTTTGTCACTTACTTAGTTTATGAAATGTGTGTCTATAAAGAGTTTCATGAGGAGCCCTGGTGGCACAGTGGCTAAGCACTCAGCTGCTGTTATGGATCGAATTTACAAAAAAAACCCATTGCTGTCGAGTCGATTCCCACTCATAGTGACCCTACAGGACAGAGTAGAACTGCCCCATAGAGTTTCCAAGGAGCGCCTGGTGGATTCAAACTGCCGACCTTTTGCTTAGCAGTCATAGCACTTAACCACTACACCACCAGGGTTTCTGTGGATTGAATTGTGTCCTCCAGAAATTAGTGTCAACTTGGCTAGACCATGATTGCCAGTATTGTGTGGTTGTCCTCCATTTTGTGATCTGATGTAATTATCCTCCATTTTGTGATGGGCTGTAAATCCTAGCCTCTCTGCCTGTGGTTATGGTCCCATTTGGGAGTGAGTTGTCCATTATGCTAATGGGGCAGGAGTAGGGTGGGATGTATATTGAGTCACCACCTTACTAGAGGTGACTCAAATCACCACCCTTACCCCAGTCACCACCCTTACCACCCTTATTGAAGTCCTGCCCTTAATTTGAGTCACACCTTTTATCTTATAAGAGATAAAAGGAGAGAGAAGCAAGCAGCAAGAGGGACCTCAATACCACCAAGAAGAAGAGATGAGAGTGGAGCACATCCTTTCGACCTGGGGTCCCTGCACTGAGAACCTCCAAGAACCGGGAGACAGAGAGAGAGCTGTAACATTGGAGATGGCTCACGATGTTGAGAAGTAGCAGCAGAGAGACGGCAGCAGCAGAACCAGGAAACTGGGCAAGACAGCACGGGAGCTAACCCATGGATGGAGAGAGCTGAGCGCCTTCGGGCAGGAGGCTTCCTGGCAGAGTGGGGTGCCTCTGGGTACTTATGGGCACGGCTAAAGAGCTTTGTAACACTTGCCCAAGCAGGGTAGGGGCCATGCCGAGGGGCCAAGGGCCAGACAGGCCTGCCTGCGGATATGACTTAGAAGAGGCTGTCCTGTTGGACACAATCTTCCTCCAGAGCCGACAGAGACAGAAAGCCTTCCCCATGAGTAAGCTCTCTGAATTCGGACTTCTAGCCTCCTAAATTGTGAGAAAATAAATTTCTATTTGTTAAAGTCATTCACTTGTGATATTTCTTTTATAGTAGCACTAGCTAAATTAAGACAGCTGCTAACTGAAAGATGGCAGTTTGAACCCACCAGCTGCTCTGCAGGAGAAAGACCTGGTGATCTGTTTCCGTAGATTACAGCCTTGGAAACCCTATGTTCTACTCTGTCCTATAAGGTTGCTATGAGTTGGAATTGACTCGATGATGATGGGTTTGGTTTTTTTTTTTCCTAAGAAGTTTCGTTACCTTTTCAGTAAAAATCTATAACCCTTTGTATTGCTATGAGTCAGTCAACTCAATGGCAGTGGGTTTTTGGTTTGTTCAGATTTAAGTAAGAGCAAATTGCACTACATGCTTTAAGGAAAAATTATTTTTTAAGCAATTAAAAATGTTTCTTATCTAATAAGAAAAATATATTGTTTTTCATTATCTAATACACAGGTTTTCATCAAAATAGATGAAAATACAAAAGTAAAATCTGGCTAGATGTATTGAAATCATATTTTTATATAATTTGAAACAAAGTTTTAATACCATTTCAAATTCAAAATAAAATTTAAGCTTTTAAAAATCTTTCATTTGTTAATAAGTTCATAAATAATTGCTCATAAATATTGGATTTTATCTCAGAATGAGTATAATCAAGCCTTATTTCTATCTCTCTGTACACACCGTAATGGGTGAATGACCAAGAACGCAATTGTAGATTTAATGCAAAATAAAACACAAAAGAAAGAACAAGGAAAGAGAAGCTGAGTCGTGACAAGAGACCTTCTTCCTCCCATCCTACCAGTGAAGCCCTCGCTGTGAGCGTGCTCAGATTCATGGGAGGTACCGAAGCTGCTGTATTAGAACTCCTTCTGAGGTATAAGGAGGATAAGTCTAATAACTCAGTTGCTGTAAATCTATGGTTACATTTCTGTTCCTCAACATCTCTGCAGCCTCTTGTGATTGCAATGTTCTTTCTACTTCATTTCGTCCTCCTGACTGATGCTAAAAGTAAGAATGCTGCTTTTTCTCTTTAAACGAGTGTACTTTCAGAAAAACACCCTATTTCTCTTTGGTTCTACCATAGTTGTAATAGGTTCATCGAGGTGTTTGATCAACAGACAGCAAGCTTGCATTGTCCTTACCGTTGTTTTCTAGACGCAACAAACTTTTCATGTACATTTGCCTTTATATGTTATTAAAACTGTACGTAAGATAGCTCTTTAAAAAACGATGCGGAATGTGTCAATTATTATGGAGAAAACTTTTTTTTTGGTATTTGAAAAAGAATGACAGATTAGGAAATTAAAATTTTGTTTTATGAAATGTTAACCTGTTGAAACACATCCTTAAAATGTACGTAACTGTTAGTGAACTACTACGTTTCGTTGTTAACCTAAACTGGGAACAACAAAACCAGGGACGAATCTAAAACAAGTATGTGTCTCTACAAGTAAACTATCGAAAGGAAAAATCGTTACAAATCTACAAGAGCCCGTCTATTTAGATAATTTTCTTTCTTGTTATTTTTAATTTGGTGGAATTTTTATTTTCGTCAAACTGCTAATTTTCAAATTAGTGAGATTTTTATTAGAAAGCTAGAAAAAATAAAACTTGCATTTTCACAAGGTTTTAAAGAAGGAAATAGGCTTGTGAACGTGTACACTTCTGAATAAATAATCTAGTCATCATACACAAGGTATGCTGGGTGTTTCTTGTTATTATTCAAAATGTATTTATTTTAGTTCATAGTTTTTTCTTAAAGACTTTTGATAAACCTCTGAGAATATAGGTTAGAATATGAAATTGCTTCTGCTTTTTGAAAAATTCATTTTGGGTTTTTAAAACCCAAATACTCAATTTTATTCAGTGAATCCCAACAGAATATTTTTAATCTTCAGATAAAATTCAATATTTATGAGCAATTATTTATGAACTTGTAACAAATAAAAGATTTTTTAAATATTTCAATTTTATTTTGAATTTGAAATGATACTAAAACTTTGTTTCAAATTAGTTCAAAATATTATTTCAATAGACCTAGCAGTATTTTGCTTTTGCATTTTAATCCCTCTTAATGAAAAGTATTAACTAAGGGAAACAATCTAGGAACTCATTTTGCACGAAATATAGTTGTAGGAAGCAGTCTAGTTAATTGATTAAGTCTTACTTCAGAAGTTCCTGTCCTAACTACATCTGTAATATTCAACTTTATACGATTTTTAATAAAAAGACAGCTAAAAAGTAGGTTCTTGGATTCAAGACACTTTATAAAGTTTATCTGTGCCCTTAAAAAATTATTTAATATACAGCAAGCAATGTAACTCTAGTTACCAATTTTGCCTTAGTATTGCTTTTATTTATAACTGTACTTTTAATTGATTTTGCTTAAAACCTTTATAAGATTAAAATAATCTATTACTTAACTAATGTTTCATGATGTACCATACTGTAACAGTGCTCTTTAAAACAAAAAGAAAGAAACTTTAAACAAACGATTTTGTTTTCACTTTTTTTAAATTTCTAAGAAATACCATATTTGAGATTCATACTATCAACCTGGTAAATATTTACCAATTCATTATCATTCTCTGGAAATTTTTATCTTCTGATTTTACTTTACTTTTGATTGCAAGTTTAAATCTTTACATTGAAAATGACTTATTTTCAGAGGACATATTAGTTAATACTTCAACATTCTACTCTTAGTTGTAAAAATAATAAGCATTTGCTATACAATTAGTAAAACTTTTTTCACAATAAAATTATATACTCTTAAAGCAATAAAGCTCACAATAACCAAAGAAAAATCATTTAGAATTATGTAAGAGTAAGGGTTGCTTTTTAAATTCAAATAGTTGTGATCAATACTTAAGCTAGATGTAAACAAAATGAAGTTAGAAGTGATATGATTGTCTTTTCTCCAAGATCACCCTTGAGTATATAAAAAATGAATGATATTCACTCTCTTAAGCTACTGACATTACTTGATAATTAAAGGGAACATCTCTTTTACTTGGTATTACCTTCGACGAGTATTTTATCATCAAGATGCATGTGGTATTCTTGTTAACCAGCCTCATGCCCCTTCTACCAAAAAAAAAAAAGTCATTTTTATGGACTAATTAGGAGCAATATTGCAAACCAAAAATACTGTTTCATACGGAAAAATAAAAGCATGAAGTATTGAGAACGCCACTTGGTAATCACCAGTCACTGCTTACTCAAATAATTTCCTAACCTTCAAAAACTGTCTTCGCGCCTCAAAGGCAGTGCCCGAACCCCGCGGCGCTGGGAAGTTAGCGGTGTTTTACTGCCCTCTAGCGGACATGGAATAAGGCTCCACCTGAACCGCCTTTTGCAAGCGGTGGCAGTCCCGCAGGGTGCTACGTCTTGGGAAAAGGGTTTTCAACCACATTTTAGTTTCACGCAGTTACATCCACGCTGCCGATAGCTGTGAAAATCAATTACGTTGCAGCGAGTCATACTGAGGGGATACAGCAGCGCCACGAACGGAAAAGAAGTCGCCTGTCTGAGGTCTGAACTGAGGGGCAAGATGCCGAATGCAGGAGTTACCACCACTCAGGACGCATCATCCGTCTTCGCGGCACCCGCTGGACACAGAGGTGGACTCATTCGCTCATCCTACCGTGAATAATTAACACCGGACGTAATGCAAGAGTTTTGAGGACTCATTTAAAGCGACAGAATTGTCTGCCCCCTGAATTTTAGAGACAAAACTGAGATGCTGCTGTGAAATGAGTTAATATTGAAAAATGGCCCATTTTTATCCTGGAAGATAAAACAAAACTCGCTGTCGTCGAGTCGATGCCCACTCACAGCGACCCCACAGGGTTTTCTGGGCTGTCTTCTTTATGGGAACAGACCGCCACAGGTTTCTCCCCCGGAGCCGCTGGTGGTTTCGACCACCGAACTTGTGGTTAGCAGTCGAGCGCTTTATCCACTGCACCACCAGGGCTCCTATCCTGGAAGATAGTGGCCCAAACAGAAGTTCAGTTAGCTAAGAACAATCTCGTGTACAAAGGTGGTGTTGTTATTAGGTGCTGTGGAGTCAATGTTTTACTCACAGCGCCCCCATGTGGCAGAGTAGAACCGCGCCGTTGGGTTTTCTAGGCTGTAACCTTGATGGGAGCGGATCTCCAGGTCTTTCTCCAAAAATGCCTCTGGGTGGGTTCGAACTACCAACCTTTCGGATAGCAGCCGAGTGCTTAACTGTTGATAAATGCAGACAGTTTTTAGGAGTGCATATCGGTTCGAGAACCCACAATAGTTTGGTTTACCTATTTTGTAAATATATACCTTAAAATGTATCAGCAAAATGAGCGTGCTTGATTGACAGGAGAAATAATAATGGAATTAGAGGCACAGGGATCTGAGAATGAAGAACAAACCTCTCTTTTCTGCTTTATTCACATGGCATCGATTTTTCCCACCCCGCCCCCCACCGCCCATCCTTGCAGTCGTTCAGTATGAATTCTCATAGAAAAAGATAAAGTTTGCAGTAAAGTCAACATTGCTAAATCCCTCACCACTGTGTCAGTCCATCTCGTTGAGGGTCTTCCTCTCTTTCACTGACCCTCTACTTTACCAAACATGACGTCCTTCTCCAGGGATAACGTGTCCAAAGTATGTGAGATGTAGTCTTGCCATCCTCACTTTATCTGTCTGTACTTCTTCCCAGACAGATTTGTTCATTCTTTTGGCAGTCCATGGTGTATTCAATATTCTTCACAACACCATAATTCAGAGGCCTCAATTCCTCTTTCCCTATGAGAGATGCTAATTTTTTGTTATCCCCTTTTTGAGTGCTGGGATTGTTAATTAGGTCCAGTTGGGTTATTTAATGCTCATCAATTTTACTTGAAAAGATGTTTTGGTGTTGTTTTTAATTTGGGGTTATCAGGACAAATTAGGAGCCCTGGTGGTGCAGTGGTTAAGAGCTACGGCTGCTAACCAAAAGGTTGGCAGTTGGAACCCACCAGCTGCTCCTTGGGAACCCCCTAGGGCAGTTCTACTCTGTCCTGTAGGGTCGCTGTGAGTCGGAACCGACTCGATGGTGGCAGATTATCATTAATATGCAGGCTTTGCTGTAGAGTGGTCTTGACGTTAATTACCACTCCTTCCCCTAGAGGAAAAAGAGCCCTGGTGGCACAACGGTTAAGCACTCGGCTGCTAACCAAAAGGTCGGTGGTTCAAACCCACCCAGTGGCTCTGAGGGAGAAAGACCTGGAGATCTGCACCCATAAAGATTACAGCAAAGAAAACCCTAGGAGGCAGTTCTGCTCATCACATGGGGTCCCTACGAGTCGGAATCTACTCCGTGGCATCTAACAACAACAACCTTAGAGGAAATTAGTGAAACCACAGACCCAAGTAGCTAGGGGAGAGTCACTTCCGGTTTGCGGCCAGGTTCTCCTTCGCATTCAGCACTGGGTTTTCATCATCCACTTTTTTGGGTTTGATTCTGGTTCAGCTAGTGGATACTGGACTGGTCATTTGCCTGTAGCAGGGCAAGAGGGCTAATTGCAGATTCTTCTCTCCTTTCTTTCTCTCTTCTTCTCTCTTTCCCTTCCTCCCTCTCTCTCTGTCTTCTCGCTTGCTCACTCTCTCTCTCTCTTCCTTCTCTTCTCTTTCTCTCTCCCCCCCCTCCCTTTCCCTCTCTCTCTTCTCCCTCCCCCCTCCTCTATTCTCACCTTGCCTGAGACTCTCCCTCTCAACCACATAAGCTAAAAATAGTATAACTGTGGCTGCAGATATTTCTACTCCTAACATCTTTTTACATAAATCCATGAAATACAAGAATACGGGAGATAGCGATTCTCTTCCATTCTGCCTTTGCGGGCCACTGAGAAAAATGTTCCCTCAAACACCTCCAATTCTGACTGAGGGTGAAATGGGAGAGTCTTTAGGTAAACCTACTTACAGGCGGGGGAAGTATAATAACCCACACTTAGTGTTGCTCGCAAACTCTGTCCCCTCATTCAGAAGCCGCTTCCTTTACAGTTGCGTCCTGTTCTCACTGAAAAAAGCCATTGCTACTGTCACAGCTAGAGCTAAAACTGTCTACTTGGAAAAACAGGCTGACTGCTCAAGGCTGTACATATACTATTATTTTTGTCCACTGTGAATTTTTGTCCATTGTACGTGTGAATTTTAAAAAGCTCTGTGAAGGGTAAAACAGGAGTAAATTGCCGTGAAACCTGTGAGAGCCGGAACTCGCCAGGGCCACCTTGTTTTTCTGGGTCTCACAAGGTTTTTGTCTTCGGCAGGGTGCAGTCTTACCACTTTTCCATCGCTCTCTGTTAGTGGAAAATGAAGTAAAACCTGTGAAAGCTGGACCCTGTGTAAGGCGGAAACCTAGCAACAAAGGAAAACTCACAGGGGTTTATGAGGTAGGATTCTTAATAGAGAGCGGGAGAAAAGTGGTAAGTACCATGCATTTGTGTTTCCCTTCGCTGACAGGTTTCCACCTTACACGGGGTCTGATTTCCACAGGTCTCAGTGTTCCCTTTTTGTGACCTGATTCCCAGACAGACAGCATGTAGTATGATAACGCCGTGCAGGCGCCTTACTCCAAGCTACGGAGAGTCCACTGACAATCAGGAGAGGCACAAGCACCTCTCCTCTTTGGGGCCTGATGAATTCACACCAAGAAGTCATCCCTGAAAAAAGAAAGATAACTGTAGCACTGCCAATAGCATAAAAGGAAAATGAGCCTAAAGGTTCTCTGTGCCTTGAACTCACATTGAAGTTATATCCAACATGAGGGCCCAAACGTGGCATGTTCTCCTGACATGGATTATCACTAAAGTGCCATGTGCTCACCACCCCTACACGCAGGGGTTTGGGTACTTGTGGCCCTATTTTGCCAGGAGCCCTGGTGACGCAGTGGTTAAGTGCCTGGCTGCTAACTGGAAGGTTGGCGGTTCGAGCCCACCCGCCACTCTGCAGAAGAAAGATGTGGCAGTCTGCTCCTGTAAAGATTGCAGCCCAGGAAACCCTACGGGGCAGTTCTACCCTGTCACATGAGGTCGCTATGAGTCGGAATTGACTCAACGGCAACAGATTATTTTGGGGGTGGGGGGAAATTTTGGAAACAACATTCCTTTCTCTGAAAATGTGAAGTTTAATTAACAATTTCTGAGGCTATCTTATGTGAAAAAGGAGTCCTGGTTGCACAATGGTTAAGCACTTAGCTTCTAACCTCAAGGTCAGTGGTTCAATCCCACCCAGACGCTTTGCAGGAGAAAGGCCTGGCCATCTGTTCCCATCAGGATTACAGCCTGGAAAACCCTGTGGAGCAGTTCTACTCTGTCACACGGGGTCACTATGAATCGGAATTGACTCAGTTGCCCCTAACAGTGACAACATGCTATGTGATGAGACCTTTTTTAGCCATCGAGAGAATCAAAGTTAATAAAATAAATCTCCTTCCACTAGGTGGGGCACACAAACTATGGAAAAGAGATAGAAAATATCTCTTATTACAAGGCAGTGCCATAAAGACGACAATAAAGACATGGGCAAGATGCTTTGGGAAGGAAACAGGGAAAACCCGAACTCTAGAGTGGTTTTGGAAAGGTTGGTAAGGTTTTCACAGAGATGACTTCTGAGATGAGTATCAAAGGAGGAAGGAGACAAGAAGAAAAATGGCATTTCAGATAGAAAGAATCACACATTCTAACATCACAATTGGTGAAGAATATTGAATATACAGGAACCCTGGTGGTGTAACACTTAAGTGCTTGTCTGCTAACCAAAAGGTTGGCAGTTGGAACCCACGCAGTGGCTTCCCAGTAGAAAGAACTGGCGATCTGCTCCCATAAAGATTACAGCCTAGGAAACCCCGTGGGGCAGTTCTACTCTGTCACATGGGGTCACAGTGAATTGGAATCAACTCGACAGCAACTAACAACAACAGAAGTCTCCATTGGAGAAGAATATTGAAATATACAGTTGTCATGGATTGAATTGTGTCCCCCCAAAATATGTGTCAACTTGATTAGGCCATGATTCCCAGTACTGTGTGGTTGTCCTCCATTTTGTGATTTTCCTGTGTGTTATAAATCTTAATCTCTCCCTGTCGTTAAAGAGGATTAAGGTGGGATGTAACACCCTTGCTCAGGTCACATCCCTGATCCAATGTAAAGGGAGTTTCCCTGGGGTGTGGCCTGTACCACCTTTTATCTTACAAGAGATGAAAGGAAAAGGAAGCAAGTAGAGAGTTGGGACCTCATACCACCAAGAAAGCAGTGGCAGGAGAAGAGTGAGTCCTTTGGACCCTGGATTCCTGCGCAGAGAAGCTCCTAGTCCAGGGGAAGATTGATGACAAGGACCTTCCAACAGAGCCAACAGAGACAGAAAGTCTTCCCCTCGAGCCGACACCCTGAATTTGGATTCTAGCCTACTAGACTGTGAGAAAATAAATTTCTCTTTGTTAAAGCCATCCACTTGTGGTATTTGTGTTATAACAGCACTAGATGACTAAGACAACAGTGGTCTACCAGAAGAATGAATAAATCCATTTTGGAGGAAGTACAGCCAAAATGTTCCTTAGAAGTGAGGATGGCGAGGCTTCATCTTACATACATTGGACATGTTATCA